TAGTTTCAAACGTCATCGAACGTTTGACTTTTAAACTTCATACACTGCCTATACACAACATAAAACATCAATGAAAGTCCCTATAACCTCATGAAACAGACATAAGCACATGCAAGCACATAAGGATTAGTTGTTGAAGATCTTGGTCGTCCCTTGACGTTTGACTTGAAACTTAACCGTAATAACATAAAACCTCTTACACACATTAAATAAGTTATTTATGAGCCTTTAGAACACTGATGAAGCTTTATATAAGCATAGTTCATTTTTTGGCCGTTACAATTTGTTATGGATTTGGCGTTTGGTCAGAAACCCCAAGTCTAATCATTCACTACATACCTATCCTCATCATAATAATACTCTTTTATCGGTGGCGGAGGTATAGTAAAATATTTCACCACATTCATCTTCTCTTCCCCTCTAGTCACATGTTTTAGCACCAACCTAGCTTAGTTCTCATTTGCGCCATCTCTTCACGAATGTCACTGTGGCTTGGTTGTTTGTCGATTAAACGGTGAAGGTGTTTATCCCAGTGTCTCACTTTATAGTGCTACAAGAATTTTTGTTGCGATATATATTCTCCATTTTCTTGGTGATATTTTCCTAGGAGCATTCACCATACAAACCTCTTGCAAGAGTATCAAGAATTTCCTTGCCATTGTTGTCCTTCCCCCGATGGAAGTACTTCTTCAATGACTCATCACGAATATGGTTATTTAGTACACCTCTCATTAAATCAATGGATATATCGAAATAACTAATCATAGACTCTGCAGGTTGAGCTACAAAGTTGTTTAGCTTGTTTTTCTTTTTCAACTTCTTGGACACTTGGAAAAATCTTGCTAGGAATGCATCTGTTAACTGATCCCATATGATATAGAGTTGTAGGGGAGTTTATTCAACCATATAAAAGCATCTCTGGTCAATTATAGAGGGAACACCCTCAGCCCTATGACATCATATCTCAATTTGGTCGACCTACATAACTTTTGCAGACATAGTTTAGCTTAGCTATGTGAGCATGTGAATTATCTACTAGCAACCCTGCAAGTAAACCTCTTACTTTAAGCATCTATATCAAGCTACTAGTCACCACAAACATATCCCTGGAGTTAGAAGTGGGAGGAAAAGAGGCCTATCAGACTTGGCGATATTTATGTTGATCCTCCAATTATCATTCAAATGTGATCCTTAAGGGTCCTGAGGCCTTAGTGCTTCTGTAAATATGTCATCAGGTTGAACTTGATTTTTCTTATTTGACTTCCCGTGGAGGTTGCAACCCTTTTCCACCACCTAATACTCCTATGATAGGAGTAATCGAGCCTCCCTAATTGTTCATTCTACACAAGGTTCTATGTTATTCCGAATCCTAAGGAGTGAGGGATTCACCTCTGATATGTGCACTTGGCATACACTAGAGTAGGTACCTGAGAGAGACAAAAACAAAGAAAAAAAGTAAAATTAGGAAATGTTTGACTAAAGCCTAAGAATGTAGTTAAACTTAATCTAAAAGCCTTATTCTCCGACGGCGGCCTGAAAGTTTGATACGCTCAAACTACACCTTCCTAAAGAAGAATCAGCGATCGTTATCAAGTTAAGAACCTAACTGGTGAGTTTGGGTCGATCCCATGAGGAATATGATTTAGACTTAACTTTAACCCGCAATCATATTCATTTAGTAAAAGTATTTCCAAAACAAGTAAATAAGAAAGGGGAGGGGGAGTTTATGAAAAAAAATTCGTAAGATTATGGAATTATTAGGTAAGAAGAGTTAACTTTTTTTGTTATAAAGATGATAAATTAACTAGGGTATATGTGTTCCCCATGAGCTCATAATGTGGTGCTCCTAGTAATAGAAATCCCTTCATAGTGTATTACATGCAAAGTGATAAGTTATATATCATTAAATCCTTCGTCTGACATCTAAAGAATTTTATCTCGCACCTTGGTCCAGCTACATGTGTATAATTTACTAACACTTACCTTTACCTCATAGTAGACATTGAATCGATGTATGACACAGTTTTCACCCTTCCACCAATTGATGCTAGACTATTATATAGTATCAAACTTAATCTATGTTGATCTGAAATTCTTTTCTTATTAACTACATCTTTGGTCCGACAAGTAGCATCAAAGCGAGTTTTAACATTTGCAACCTCTAAAAAGACTTCTAAATGAAAGAATTATCAATGCATGCAAATACAATTCAAAGACTGCTTAAATATTATTCATATGTTGTTAATCACTCATGGTTTCCACAACCCTAGTTGTGGAGTTTAGTTACCTATAATCACAAGAAAAAAATTCATTATTTTAGATGAACGAATTATGAACTTACGTAATGAGAATATTAAACTCGGAACTTCCACTTGAATATCAACACCAAAATCTTCAAATTCAACTTAAGAAATCAATAATTTCTAAGGTTTGCTAGAATTAATCCCTCAATTCTCAAGATACGTAGAATAAAACTTTGAAGAACTTGGTAAGACACAATAATCTTTAAGGACAATTTCACAACTAGAAAATTAAAAGTAGTAGAGAAACTAGAATCAGAAACAGATTTAAAAAATTATGAAATATATTTCTTAAAGAAGAATTGCCAATCTGTATTTAAAGAATTTTACTAATTCCAAAAAAACATTGCAGAAACATGAAGTTACTAAAGTTTAATGAATAAGTGAAGAACAGAAGAACATAAATTAATTAAAAAATCTAAACTGTAACACATACAATTTTTTTTAGAAAAAATAGAAAGAAAATAGAACCCACTAAATGTACAGTGTCCCCTAAAGGGAATTATTCCCCTCTAGTATTTGAGGTTTGATTTCGAATATGTCCTGCAAAGATAGAACGATATCAAATCACCAACGTATTGTTGCCCGAAATGTTTGTGTCAGCGAGCCACTCAACAACAGTAAATTATACTTAGAATACTAGATTTAGTAGTAGTAGAAGATGTCCAGAAAATTTATTTTTTGAATGAGAGAAAATCCCTCAATTTATAGATACCAAAGGGTAGTGCGAAAATCATATTGCGTCTTAAGGTCACAAACCTTTGAAAAATCACAATATCTCATACTGGTCATTACCTTTCATAAAAGTTACAACTTTTCATAAAAGTCGCATCCTTTCATAAAAGTCGCATCCTTTCATAAAAGTCGCAACTCTTCATTTTCGATTCACACCTTTTAACCCACATATTTTATGCTTTCAACGGGTGCAATATAATGGAAACTCATAATAGATATTATTTTGATAAATTGATTTAAATAATGAATTATTTCTATCAATTTTTTATTTATTGTAAAGTAAAGTATGTTAATCCCATGGATAACTTTGATATAATTTAGGTTTAGTGTACTAAATAATTTAAGTAATGATAATTATACTATTGGTGTATCTATAAGTCATGTAAATCACTTAAAATATAATTACATGTGATTTTATGTAGCTTATAACAATTGAAATGAGTCGGTTATAATAAATTAAACTAAGTTTGACCTTGCAAAATACATCAATCTAATTAGTGGGATTGCAAATGTTACGGAGAATCTAAGATTGCGTACGTAGACAACATAGAAAATCATTTCTTCTGTATGAAACAATATTTCACTTAGACAATGTTTATCTTATTTGCCTGAACCAAAGTATCTACTAAAGTTTCTATATATTCCTTGTGTGTTACCATTAACCAATATAGATCATCAGTTTTATCATTACATTTTCTTAACTCCATGGTTTGCATGGAAACCCCAAAATAATCAAATACATTTCCCAATTGCACATCCAAAGTGTCTTTTATCGCTCTTTTTTTTAGTTTCACATGTTTATGTTTATCATCCAAAACCTAATTAGTCCCATTAATATTATAAAAAATCTCATCTTCCTATTCATTGATTATCGATTGTACACCATCATTGTTATCCTGATTTGTCGCGAACATTTTGAGTTCCCTAGTAAAAAGCACACTTTCTCTCGTCCTATTATTTTATGCTTGCAATGGTTGCAATATAATTGTAACTCATAATGCATATTCTTTTAATGAATTTATTTAAATAGTGAATTCTTTCTATCAAATTTTTATTTGTTTTAAAGTAAAGTATGTGAATCCAATATATAACTTTTATATGATTTATGTTTGGTGTATTAAATAATTTATCTAATGAATATTGTACTATATTTTGTGTATCTATGAGACATGCAAATGACATAAAATGCAATTACATATGATTCTATATAGGTTATTATAAATGAAATTAATTGGTTATTATAATTTAAACCAAGTTTGAATTTGGAAAATACATCAATTTAATTAGTGGGATAGCAAATGCTACGGAGGATGTGAAATTGCTTAACCAACATAGAAAAAATCATTTCTTTTGTATGAAACAATATCTCAATTACATATCCCTCGTGAGATTAATGAAGTATGACCATCTATTATTGGTTTTCTCTAGCAAAATTTATCAAGAAGTATATCCAAGATTTCTTCTACTAGTTTTTATATCGTAGATCTGTCTGTTGCTAATAGACTGATAAGGGTATTGTTTTGGTAGGTAAATCTTTCTTCTATAAATTTCATTAATATCTGAGCTAATACGTTTTTCTATCATCCACATAATTGATTATTGTCAATTCATGAGGCATAACCGATGATAAACGCAAACTTATCCAGTTTTGCTCTTTACTTATTCAAGTCAAATGTTTATCAAAGGCCTAAGTCATCTACAGCCCCTTAAAGTTGTCCACATAATTCACTTAGATACCTCAACTAGGCCTAATACCGATTAAACACCTCTACTAACTCGAATTTGATTCATTTAGACACTTTTGCTGAAGTGGCACAGAAAGTGTAATTCACATCTTGGTGAACGCGTGAAGTTCATATTTTAATATTTTTCCTTTTCCTTTTTAATCTTTCCCTTTAATTTTCTCATTATTTTTTTAACAGTAACAATTTTTTTATCTTCTTCTCTTTCACCATCTGAGACCACTTTGCTTTACAAATCCATGGTCAGTTTTTATTTTATATTTACTTTTACAAATTTCATGTTTTCTTTTTCTTTTTTTAATATTCTAATAATTGTCAACTTCCGAATGGAGAATGCCATTCACAATCTTTTATCAAAAAAATGAAGATGCCTTATTTATAAAAAAAATGGAAATCATCTACAGCTTCTTTGTCGGAAAAAATGAAGATCATTAATAAAATATCTTCTCACTCCCTCTTCACCTCTCCCGCCACAAACCACCTTGATCTACGCCCCTTCTTCCTCCCAAATCTAAGTAGAAACATAAAAACAAAAAAAAAATACAAATTTAAAATCAAAATAAACAAAGGAAGAATGAGAATCTTTTAAGAAAACACCATCAATTCAAATGAAAATGAGCAAGAAGACATAAAAGATATTAAAATGATAAGTTTATACCTAATATATGTTAAATATCTATTTGTTCTAAATGGAGAATTAACAATGGTGGAAGGTGGAAGGTGGAGCTGTTATAGAAAGAAAAGAAAGGGAAAGATTTGTATGGGGTGGAGTGCGGGGTGGGTGAAGGGGGGTTGTATAATTTCTTTCTTTTCTTTATTTTTTTTAAAGAAAAATTTAAAGTCTTTTCTTAAAGATTTTGACTTATTAATATTTAAAATTTATTTTGATAATTTTTTTCAATTAAAATGCCACGTGTTTTTATTTGGTTTGCTATTTTGTCACATCATGTGCATGTGTATTACACGCACTTTCTCTTTTGATTGAGTGTCAGAAAAATGTTCAATAGGTATTTATTTGTTAAGGTTAGAGTGTCTAATAGAAAACAATGTTTGTTAAAGTGCCTAATGAATTATACAAACAACTTTAAGGGGCCACACATGACTTAAGCCTTTATCAAATTTCATGCATCTACACACAAGTTATTTCTTATTCAAATTTTTCAATGTTTCAATTTATTTTGTGTGTGCCCTTCGTCACTCAACTATTTCCATTCTACCAACAAATTTTCATTCACAAGTAATAGTTGAAGTAATTATTAATACATTGAATTGACATGAGCATTGTTATGGGAAATTGATATATAATTTATATAACAGGAAGGATGTTTCAGTACTACTTAATTGTATTTATAAAAGAGACCATGAAGGAATAATTGTGCAAAATATTTGTTGATCTTGAAGTTTTTTATTGATATTTGTATATATTATACGCATCTTACTACTAGATTGAAAAGTTTTTATTACATATATGATAAAATGGAGGAGTAACATACTTTTCTAAGAAGGCTTAAGTCATTTGTGCCCCCCATGATTTTCAAAATAATTCACTTAGATACCTTAACTATGACTAGTACCTATTATACACTCTAATATTAATAAATATCTACTTTTTGAACAAAAAATATAACAAAGCTTTTAAAATAATTCACACATAATGTCTTGGAAAGCAACGATAAAGACTTCAACATGTGGCTAATGGGCCCAACCTAATGAATTTTCAATTTTTTTTTTGAAAATTTCAACCTTTAATAATTCAAAAAAATAATTACCAAAAAGAAGTAAAAAAAGAAAATCCCTCCCCCACCCCCACGAACCCACCCACTTTTTTTTTCTTCTTCTTTGCTAACGCGCCCACGCTGACACCTGGGACGACAAAAAAAAGTAAGTTAAAAGAAAATATCTCACCACCAATCTAATTGTTTGCCCTTTCTTATATTTTCTTGATTCGTTATCAGCCATCATTTCTATTCTTATGAAGAGATTACTTTTTATTACTTTTTGTTTTTCTTCTTATAATAAACTATGAGTTACGGAAATTAAGTCAGATGTAAATAATGAAATAAATTGTGTAGCTTGATAGATTAATAAAGTGATTATTGAGATTTTTTGTAATGAAATTGAAGTTGATACATTATTTCAAAATCAATGAACAAGAGAAATACTAAGGATTTAAATGAATTTTATCAAATTTTTTGACATTATTTTATAACTTTAATTGTTGGTGATGTTTGTTGATTGAAGTGACCAGAAATAGAGATGAACAGAGGTTTGCTTTATAATTTTAATGGCTTATACAAGTTTATTAGTAATAGAATAAATATTTTAAAAATCCGAACATGTTCACACGCTCCTATGCAGTGAAATGCACTTATTTTGCTAAATCTTCATTTTGTGCTTAATAGGCTCACATTATAAATAATTTAGGTTTTCAATAGGTACTAGCCCTAGTTGAAGTGTATAAGTGAAATATGCAGATAACTTTAGGGATCCGTAGATGTCTTAAACCTTCTAATAAATAGTAAAAAGGAAAATAATAAAATTTGGATATTACTAGTTTCTTTTAGATATAGTTATTTTATCATTCAATCTCCTCACAAAAAACATCATATGATTTAACAAAATAAGATCCTAGTTAATTAACTTAAATTTAAATTTGTGTGAATTAGAATCCCAACAGACTTCAATCTTATCACCATAGGTCAATCCATGATTTTCGAATAAATCCGCACAAACCATTGAATAATGTTTACACAGATTCATCTTCATAACAAAACATCCTTCATAATTTTTATGGTTTCTGTCTTCAGTAACATCCAATAATTTAAAATGATGCATTTTACCTTTCCAACTGGTTGCACAATTTCCTTCATCAAATGTGAAAAAACATGTGCTAGAACGAATGCAAATTGTAACACTATTATTTGAGTGAATTTTTCATTATGAGTAATAGTATTCTTAATCTTTGGTAGTACTTGAAAAAGGTCAAAGTGGGTGGTTTTTTTTCATAATAGTAATTATAAAGAAATGTGTTTGATAAAAAATTTACAATGTTGAGGGAAAAAAGGTAGGACATTATAGGAATCTTTTGGCATTATATTTGGAAGGTTATGACACTATAATTATGGAATTAAATTTGGAAATTATATGACACTATAATTATGACATTAAGTTTGGAAGGTATTTTCTAATAAAGTTTGGTTTCACATATTAAAATTAGATTACTGTGATTAATTATATTTGATTATTTTTCTAGTCACTTTCCTTCTACAACTTGATTTGATGAATGTACATAAGTTATTTAAATGTAATTACAAGTTATTTTGTTTAATCACTTTATAATAAACAATAAACAATCATTATAATAAATCAAATTACATTTTTTATTAATTAGATTTTAAGGTATCACGTATACAAGTTGGAAATCTATTAAAGTGCTCTTAGTGTACCTTTATTAATAATAGGGAAAATCTTATAATATACCATCAAACTATTAAAAATGAATCATCTATTTCGTTAAGAGTTTGGAAAATTGATGTCATCGTTGTTAAAAATAATGATCATTTATATTATTAGTTTTAATAGTTATTTTGTAAAAACAGATTTGCCACATGACCTCTTTTTACTGGTCTTAAAAAAAAATGGACCCATTTAAAAACTTACTCACACTCTATTTTATTCCCCAACTTGGACTGAAACTAACTCATAGAACATGGACAATATTCACCGGGTATAAATTAACTTTGGAAAAGGGAAATTTTTTGTAATGACCTAGACCGTCGTGATTGACACTAACAGTAACTTCTTGGTCGGAGAACCGTTACTACCATCAAACAAAAGCAAGAATTCTAAAACTAAGAAATTTATGTTACGGAATCAAGTTAAATGACGAAAAACGAAGTACCTACTAAACAAAAGATCTAAAAACTAACATATGCGAAAGAAAAACCTAGAACCTGAAAGTTAATATATCAAAACTAGAAACGACAACTAAGTCTAACAAAGAATTATATTGAACTATTTAAAACAAAATCCTAAGTCCACAAAGGTTGGACATAGACAAGGAGAATTCCATGGCAACCTGAATGGAGTGACGCACCCTTGAACTCGAAGTGATCACTGATCTCGTAAGCGAGATCTGTCAACAGTCACATGAAAATTCCCTATACTAAAAAAAATAAGAACAAGTTTAGGATCAGTGCATAACCACAATGTATATGTAGGATCACACGTCTATCGCACTAGTGTAACATAAGAAGTCAAACAACATTATAATTATCATGCATATATATAAAAAAATTCAATATCATCATATGGAGTCAATAATACATTCACATGCTTAATCACATAGTTAGTCCTCTCACGAAATCCAAACCCAAACTATTAGCATGTCGGAAAATGGAAATTTGCTCAAAAGTTAGCATGCCAGCATGTGACAATCCGATAAAAAAGATAGCATGAAGAAACGTGGCAATCCGATCCAAATAACACATCACAATAATACCTCAAGATCACACATTTAAGTCATGATTCATTTCTACCTCTATGACCAATATTGCAACATACACACATATACAAGTACCGAATGACGAGAGAACAAGTATATATCACACAATCATATAATTACAACCATAACCTACATCGAAACAAGCTTGGAACCCCAAGAAAATTGATCCTTCCCTTTACGGATCTCTTGCACTTGTTTTTGGTCTATAATCAATCAACAATATACAACAATCAATAAATAAATCACTTCTTTCATGATATTCTAACAAATTGATGAACCCTAGGTCAAACGCAGGACCCCAACTAGCCAAAGTAGGTTTTTTTCCACTATGAATTCTATTAAGAAACCCTTTCCCATCAATTATCACCCATTATAAAATGTTCTACAATTAAAAAATTAAAATGGGGGTAAAAAGCTTACCTTTAACCTTAAGAATGTTGAAAAACGAGTTGAAATTACCCAAGGATCGTTTCTTAACTCTAAAATTCAAAAGTGTCAAATAAGTTCAAGTAGCGGCTTTATTTATGTAATTAGAACCCGTCATTCCGCTAAAGCGGTGCCCATCCTGCTCTAATGGTATCATTTTAGCGGATTTTTGTACTACTGAACTCTGTCTTGAAAAATCGCAAAAATCATATAAATCAATCTCCGCCTCATCCGCTACATTAGCACTGAACCCGCTGTAGCGGGACGAAGAGAGGCAGTGAGCTCCTAAGGGATTTTCATCCCTTTCACAACATACTCTTAACCCACTATGCACTAAAAATACCGTTAACACTACGATATATTCCTGGAGATCTATTTATTTAAATTCAATTTCATAAAGTCGTATGGGTTCCTTAATGATATATATAACCGATTATGTAATAAAATTCCTATTTAATCCACCCGATTACTATAAAATTTCCCTAAACCATGATGACTCTGATTTCCTTGGAATCTGGAAAAGGTTGGAAAAAACTTAATACTTCAAAAAAGTTTTTTGACCCCAATTTTTCCTCGTTGGCATTTCAATCGATACCAATTTACCCATCACTCATCCCCAACTGATCTACTCAAGAAGGTAGGCTAAAAGGTAATAAAGTGGTACGTTATTCAATGAATAATTGGCGATACTTGTCTCGCATGTCCTTTTTCAGTCTCCCAAGTACCTTTCTGAAGTGGACAATTTTTCCATTGAAACTTCACGGACTTTATCTCCTTGGTCGTCAGCTTACGAGCATCGCGATCAAGAATAGAAATTAGTTCCTCCTCATATTGGAGATCTTTGTCTAGCACTATTGAGTTCGACTTAATGATATCGTCACCGTTGCCATGATATCTCTTCAACATAGACACGTAAAATAAGAGATGTACACAGGAAAAGTTATGAGGTAGAGCAAATGTATACACCACATTCCTATATGTTCAAGAATCTCAAAAGAGCCCATATAGCGCGTACTCAACATACCCCTCTTACCAAATTTCATTACCCCATTCATGGGTGATACATTGAGAAGAATATTCTCGCCCATCTAAAATTCCATATCTCTTACCTTGTGATCTGAATACTTCTATTGTCTACTCTGCGCGACTAGAAATATACTTTGAATGCTTCTCACCTTATCTTGAGCATCTTTCACTAAGTCAACCCCCTAATGTTTCACATCTATGGACTCAAACC